AGTACTGATGATACCGATAATCTGTGTTGGCAGCCTTCCCTGTGTAGGGAAATGCAAGTGGCTTTTGGATAGCATTTTGGCAACAACAAAATCTTCAATGTGCATATGCTTTCACTCAGTAATTTCACTTATAGGGATCATTCAGAAACATACTATGCAAACACGTATGCCCACTTCCTTGCAGGATTGTTTGGGTGGGTGAAAAACTGGGCACATGCTAAACACTCCTCGTTAAAAGACCATTAGGCCCTGGTGCCCAACCAGAGGCACCTTGCTCCTCCACCCCAAGATGCCAGTCTCTCCTCACTCCCTACTTGAAACAGCCAAAACTATTTCCAGACACTACACAAAGACTGCTCAGTGATGACGATGTAGTGGAATCTTTAACGGGGGCTGGGGTTAATTTGCTTGGAAATAGAGCAGAATTCACCCAGAGTCAGGAACTATCAAATTCCTTTTCCTGCCTGTCCACTGCCAAGCCAAGCCATTTATGGTCCTGCCATGATTTACAAGTGTAGTTTTTAGCCACCAGCTCATAACCCATGTCTCTTGATGTTTCTTTGAGCAAGCCTGGTTTTCATCTCCTGGGCTGTTCCAGAAAAGTCTCTTCACATTGGGTCTGAGACCTTTGATGTTGGCTTTTGTTGGTTGCTCCCCTCCACCTGCCTGGCTCTCACGGAAACACCGTCCAAGGTCAGGACTGGGAGGCTGGAGTTGTGTGATGCCAGCAGCCAGCCCAGGGATCCCAGAACAGAGGTGTCTGGTAACATCTTCGGTCGGACACAGTCAGTGGCTCAGACAGCCGTGGCACCAAGGCTCGGGACTGCTGAGGGACTGTTCCCAGGCACAGGCTGCAAGTAGGTGTGACAGGACCTCTGTGACCACGTCACCCTGCTCAGCCCAGCTAGAAAGAGAGCATCTTCAGAAGACTATCTCTTGGGACGTTTCCAAGAATTTAAAAATTTAAAACCTCAAAACTCCATTTCTTCCTAGAGACTCCCTCACCCAGCTGAGAACCTAGGCAAGTGCGTGACCCCCTGGCTGCGAGCGTCCACTGGAGTACAGACCTCAGGGCGTAGTTGCATCTCTTGTATCATTTCAACTTGCTTCATCTCCTGTGAAACTGAAGCCCACACTGCCTTCACAAAAGGATCGCTTCTAGTAAGGATTCGGAGAGTGGAGTCAGGAAGGTTGTGGGTTTAGGGAGAGTGGAGTTCTCTAATCTCAGGTGACTCCATAGTGTCATGGCCAGTGGGGCAACCCTTGCTTTGGGTTGAGGGTTCTGGTTGCTTTACCTTTAAAACCCTGGGCCTCTGTGTTAGATATTTCACTTTCAACTTTCATAATATTTGACTATAAAAGAACAAAAGTGTATGACAGGAGCTGGATAGCACCTGAACGAACAAGCTAGTCCTTTGGAAGCGTGATGTCCCGTTTCTCCGTCAGAAGCACCCCTGTCTTCCAGACAGCCTGCCTGCCTCCTTGTCAGTCCTGACTTGGCTCCCTCACCTGGCATCTCTCAGCTCAGGCAGGCTTGTGGGTTTCCTTTTTTTTCCCCTTCCTTCAGCACCGGGGATTGAACCTAGGGCCTTTGCACTGATCTACATCCCTAGGCTTTTTTGTTTTTTGAGATAGGGTCTCACTAAGGTCCCCAGGCAGGACATGAACTTGCAGTCCTCTTGCCTCAGCCCCCCAGAGTGCTGAAATCACAGGCATGCTGCACAGTGCCTGGCTTGTGTTCTCTTTTCTACTGGGAACAGGAGGTCCTGCGAGCTGAGCAGGAGGAGGGGAAAGTGAGCACCCCCAGGTCTTTTTCCTCAGTATCTTATTCTTTCTTTCTTCTGCTTTGCCCTTCCCATTGTTGCTCTTTGACTGTTGATCTAAATGACGCAGGGTCCCCAGAATTTACAGAAGTTACTACTGGCCTCAGAATTCCTGAAAAATTTGGTATCAGTGTGTGTGCACACACATGTATGCATACGCATGCACGTGCATGTGCGTGCTAAGATCTAACTGCTTCACGATGGTATAAGTGAGTCCTTGAGTGAGCTTTTAGGAGCATGTCTAAACACACACTGTATACTGAGCGAGGTTTTCTAAAACAAGGCTTTCCTAAAGAACAATGCATGGTGAGTGGCCTTTGGCCAAGTGGACAGAATTCAAAAGCCTTAGTTCACAAGCAGGAGTCCCAGGGAGGTTAGAGAGGGCCGTGACAGTAAGTACTTCCTCCTGCACAGTACTCAGCCGTGGGTGCTCCAAGGGGCAAACCCTGCCCAGGCCCTTTTTGTTTTGAGGGAAACTTCCACATCCCTGTGTCACTTTGAAAAAAGAGACAGCTCTGTCATTCAAGAAGAATTATAAAAATTGTTTTAATTTTTGCATGAGATTAGGTACAAAATTGCTTCTCTACTTAGGCATCGTACTGCATAATCCCAAATTATCTGCTTTAAGACAGACCTGGAAAAAAGATAATCCAGAGCACAAGGATATCATTGAAGGATTGGGGAGACCCCCACACCTGCCTGAATAGAGGAGGCCTGGAATGGGGCTCATGCACACTTACGGGAGGCAGAGTCTCCCTTCACAGCCTTAACTGAGCTCCAGGTGCGAGTCACTGTATTGCCATGGCCGGCTGGCTGCAGAGGAACTGAGAAGATGAAACTACTCTGGCTGCTCATTAGCAAAGGGGAATACGCAAATGTCGAGGGTTCCTGTGTCAGGGCCACACTCAGGGGTTTTATCTGCTAAACAGAGTGCTCTTCGTGCCCACTCCAAGCATTTAGCTGCGTCCTTTTTTTTCTGTTTTACCTATTACTGTGCTGAGGACCTTGACAGAGTGCTAAAAATAAGGAGCTGTTGAAAGTAGAAGCATTTTCATCATTAACCATTTTGGAATTAGGTTCATTTCATGCTTTGATTCTCATTGCTAACTGACATTTTTTATAGCAGTATTTTTCAACAGCAGTGTAATAGTTTGAGAGCTAGAATTCCTTATTTTGGGTGCTATCATGTGTAGTGTGGGGTTTTTAGCAGAACCACTGGCTTCCAGCAATTAAATACTAGTGGCACACTTCTCCTCAGTTGTGGCAAGCAAAAATCCATCCAGACACTGCCAAATGTCTCATAACATGCAAAATCACACGTGGGTGCACACCCCCACAGAACACCTTTTGAGAATCACTGTCATGTAGTAAAGAGGCAATATAAAATAATATTTGTCCTAGATTCACTGTGCCTTTAAAGTAGATCTTAAAGTTGTATACATTTAACACCTGTGGTTTGGTCTACTGCCTATGTGAAGTGGGTGGGGTTTTGTCCTTTTTGAAAAGCCGTTATAAAAAGCTTGGAATCTTCTCTCTTGAAGTCTACTGTCCCATCATATTCGTATATTGCCAATATTGTATATTTGACCTATTTATTCAATAATTGCTCCTTAATTCATTAATTCTGCACATGAATCCATTCATTCATGCAGCAGTATTTCCTAGGGTGCTCTCATCACGTGCCCCAGTGTGAGCAAGCATTTCAACCAGGATTCCACATCCACCGTTCTTTGCTTGCTTTGTGATGAGGGATTAAACTGGGGAAGGAAGAGCTGCATCTCACATGGAGGAATATAGAAAGCCCTTCCTGCACCTTATCGTGGTCCAGTAAAGTTATATTTGTAATCCCATGGAAAAGTTATTGGATAACTAAGTAATTTCAGTCTACCACTTCAGTACAATCCACAGCAAGAATAAAGACACTAAGGCATATTTATAGTTGTGGGGAGCCAAGGGGGTCCTAAGTCCAGTTAGAACAATGGCTAACCAGAACAAAGGCCCCAACCCAGGGCCAAATGTGAGTTTCATTAATTTGTGAAGAAGGGAGTGGCTCAGGGATGAGTGGCTGAGAAAAGTTGGGAAATATGTGAGTGCTGTGAGCTGGGCTAGGTAGGAGGCCTGGAATCACCTCTGCAATATGCAGAGAGAAGGATATGCAGAAAGTAATCTGCATCTCACAGGTTAGGGCAGTATCTAGTGTTTTGGGGTCTGGTGCTTCAGTTTTGATGTGTAATCATCACACCTTGAGATTTCTTTCTTGAAGCTCAATCCCAGTTGACAGCGTAGTGTCACTTGCCCTAGCTCACACTTACTGCTTGGAAGCTATAGGTGGGGCATCACTGACCTGTCCCATTGCTTTAAAGACTACACATCAGCACCTTGGCTGGACACATTGGCATTGCTTCAAGCTAATTGAGGGGATAAAGAAATATCCTAGCCAGCTGTGTGTGTATCAGTACACTGAGGTAGAGCCAAATGCTCTTCTTTCAAGGAGAACTGTCCGGGTGGTCCTCCACAGAGGAACATTGTCCCTGGAATCAGACAGACCTGAATTCAAATACATCCCTGTTGCTTACAAATTGAGTAACTTTGGACTAATTATTGAGTCTGTGTGCCTCTGCCTCCCATATGAAAACAAGGATGATGTCTTCCTAGCAAGGGTTCTGCCGGGCTTCTGTGAGATCATGTATACCACATTTCACATCACTAAAAGGGTAACTCACTGCCCGCTGACCCGTAGGTTGTGATAAGTGAATTGTCTTCTATAGATCTAAAGCAGAATATTGGCAACTTCATATAACTCAACCCAGTATGTAATCCCAGGTCTAGGATCACACTGCCCTCGACTCTTCCCTCTGTGGAAGTCTAGCAAGTAATTGCAATGGTTCTGATTTGTTGTTTTCCTACATTCCTGCTCTTCTCTGCAAAGGCACCCTGCCAGCACAACATAGCAAACTTCAGAGAGGACTCAGTGTTCACAACAGCATGCGTTTCAAAGCTCGGAGTGTGAAATGGCACTCCTCCCACCTTCCAGCCAGTTTGTGTGGAAATAACTTGAATTGTAGCAGTGTGTCAACTCCGGCCTGCCAGGAGCACACTTGGTTGGCTTTCTTTTGTTTGTTCCTCAGGCGCCTGTCTTGGAAAGGCATGTCTCTGATATCTGTGTTTATGTCTCAGGTCACTCTGCTGATCGCCTTCATCTGCGTGCGGAGTTCCCTATGGACTGACTACAGTGCCTACAGCTACTTTGAAGTGGTCACCATTTGCGACTTGATAATGATCCTCATCTTTTACCTGGTGCACCTCTTCCGCTTCTACCGTGTGCTCACCTGTATCAGCTGGCCCCTGTCGGTAAGGGATCCGCCCTGCTCTTCACAGGCAGAAGCCAGGGCATTGGCTGGACACTGGACCAAAGGAGTCCTTCCCACCTGCCATCCCCCTCCTGAGCCACCCTCTTCCTGAGCCGCCCTTTGCTGCTGCAGACCTCTGGCCCTGCCTGATCTCCTGCTGGCTTCTAGAACGTGCTTGCCTACCAGCTCCAGGAAGCTGTGGTTCTTGCCTCAGTGCTTATTTTCTCAAATGATAGCGAATGGGCTGTGTGTATGAGTGGGAGGAGGAAATGGAAGGAAGAGCTGGAATGGATGATGGGCGTTTATAGTGTGGCGAGGGTTGATAAATGCTATTTGGAGGCTACAAAGGACTGGCCAGGGCTGAAGAGACAGATTAAAAGTTGCCAAGTTTTTTCTTTCAGCTGTATTATTTTCCTTTTTTTCCCCCACTGTATTATTTCCTTAAAAGCTTTATTGGCGTATAGTTCACATGCCATGCCAGACACCCATTTAAAGTTTACAATTCTGAAGGCTTTGCTGTACTTCCAGCGCTGTACACACACTACCACAGTCACTTTCAGACAGAAATTTCTTCCCCGTAGGCTGTCACTTCCCTGCTTTCATCTCCTCCAACCCTAAGTAACCACTACTCTACTTTCTGCCTCTAAAATGTTCCCACTTTGGACATTTCATGGAAATGGAGTCACACATGCAGTGAGTGCTTTTTGAGGATCAGATTCTTTTTAACAGAACTTTTTTGTGGTTCATCTGTGTGTGGCATGTATCAGTACTTGTGTGTGTGTGTGTGTGTGTGTGTGTGTGTGTGTGTGTGTCTTTTTGAGACAGGGTCTTGCTATGTAGTTCAGGCTGGCCTTGAATTCACTTTGTAGCCCAGACTGTCCTGGAACTCACAGTGATCCTCCTGCCTCAGCCTTCCAAGTGCTAGGATTACAGGAGTGTGCCACCATGCCTGGCTTTTCATTCCTTTTATAACCAGATAATAATCCTTTGTGTGGTTATGCCACATTTTGTTTTTCCTTCATTGATGGACGTTTGGATTCACCATGTGGCTGTTAGGAATAATGCCGCTATGAACATTCACATGAAAGTTTTTTTGTGTGGACATGTTTTCGTTTTTCTTGAGTATACATCTAAGAGTAGAACTGTTGGGTCATGTGGTACTTGAGGAACTGCCAGACTGTGTGCCAAAGTGGCTGCACCGTTCGATAATGCTCTTAGCGATGATTGTGGTTTCTCCACTTCCTTGCCAACGCTTGCTATCTGAGTTTCTGATTCAAACATTCTAGTGAGTGCTCAGTGGTGTCACATGTGATTTTGATTTGCATTTCTCTGAAGACTAATGGTGTCAGTAATCTTTTCATGTGCCTTCTAACCACTTGTATAGTTTCTTTGAAGAAATGTCTGTTCAGATCTTTGCCCATTTTCTAATTAGGTTGTCTTTTCATTACTGAATTGTAAGTGTTTTCCATATTCAACTTAAAAGTCTGTTATTGAAGTGCAGAGAGTGGTGGTGAATGCCTGTAAACCCAGCACTCGGGAGGCTGAGGCAAGAGGATCGATGCGAGTTCAAGGGCAGCCTTGGGGTACAAAGTGATTTCAAGACCAGCCTGAACTGCATAGCGAAACCCTGTCTCAAAAAGAAAAAAAAAGTCTGTTATCATATTTATGACTTGAAAATAGTTTCTCCTATTCTTCTGATTGTTTTTCACTTACTAGGTGATACCCTTTAAGGGGTATCCTTTGAGGGGATAAAGAAATATCCTAGCCAACTCTGTGTGTATCAGTACACTGAGGTAGAGCCAAATGCTCTTGTTTCAAGGAGAACTGTTCGGGTGGTCCTCCACAGAGGAACATTGTCCCTGGAATCAGACAGACCTGAATTCAAATACATCCCTGTTGCTTACAATTTTCTTTTTTTTTTTGGTTTTTCTCCGGTACCGGGAACCGAACTCACGACCTTGCGCTTGCCAGGCAGGCGCTTTGCCGGTGAGCTAAATCCCCAGCCCCCCTGTTGCTTACAAATTGAGTAGCTTTGGACTAATTATTGAGTCTGTGTGCCTCTGCCTCCCATATGAAAACAAGGATGATGTCTTCCTAGCAAGAGTTGAACAAGTTTTAAATTTTGATAAAGCCAATTTATTTGCTCATGTTTTTGGTATCATGCTGAAGAAACTCTTACCAAATCCAAGATCAACAAACTTTACCTCTTGTCTTTTCATCTAAGAATTTTAGTTTTAGCTTTTACTTTAGGTTTTTGATCCAGTTTGTGTTATTTTTGTAGATGGCATGAGGTAAGGTAATGCTATCATTTTGCAAGTAGATGGCAAGTTGTTCCAGCACCATCTGTTGAACATGCAGTACTTTCCCCACTGAGTGATCTTGACATCATTGTCAAAAACCAGCTGTCCATAAATACATGGATTTATTTCTGACTCTTAGTTCTATTTTATTGATCTGTATATCTACATTTATGCCAAAACCACACTCTTGATTATTGTAGCTTTGTATTAAATTGTAAAATTTGGAAATGTGAGCCTTCCCAATTTCTTCTTTTCCAGGATTATTTTGAGTCATTGCAACGATTATTTGTGAATTTTAGAATTAGCTTTGAATTTCTGCAAAGAAATCAGCTGGTATTCTACTAGGAATTGCATGAATATGTAGATCTGGGAAGTACTGCCATTCTAGTGGTATTACCTGATGATCTGTAAACATGAGAGGCTTCTCCATTTATCTATTCTTCTTTCATTTTTTTCAAGGATATTTCGTAGTTTTCAGAGTACTTTATTCTTTTTGGTGCTATTTCAAATGGAATCTTTTCTTTCATTTTCAGATCACTTATTGCAAGTGTATAGGAATATAGTTAATTTCTACATATTGACTTGTATCCTGAATCTTACAGACCTTTACTTGCTAGTAGATTTTTGGTACAATCCTTAGGATTCTCCATATAGAAAATCATGTGTATCATCCACAAATAGAAATAATTTTACTTCTTTCTGTCTAATCTGGGTAGCTTTATTTCATTGTCTTGCCTTACGAAAGACAGAAAAATTAATGTTGAATGGCAGGAACAGGCATATATGATGTTAGGTATGAGCTTTTATAAATACTCTTGATCAGACTGAGGAAGTTCCCTTCTAGTTTGACTTTGCTGTGTGCTTTTATTGTGAAAAAGGACATTAGATCTTGTTGATGTTGTTTTTAATCCAATCTGACAACTTCTGCTTCTTGATCAGATAGATTTTTTAACCATTCCCGTTAAGCATTATGTACAAATGTATCCGTGTTTTTATTTTGGAGTGAAGGACATAGACAGCTTATTAACAGGCTCTTTTTTTTTTGGTTTTTCTCTGGTACCGGGAACCGAACTCACGACCTTGCGCTTGCCAGGCAGGTGCTTTTGCCGCTGAGCTAAATCCCCAGCCCCGCTGTTAAGCATTATTACCTACTGTGTTATTTTGAGAGAGAGAGTTCTTTGTGCTTGTATATTCCACGGCCCCTTTCACATTTCTGCTTTTTTGGAGAACAAGCTTGTCTTGGCATCCCTGATGCTGATAAGAACAGGCAAGTAAGAAAATGGAACCAGAGGAAAGGAACATAGAGGCCTGGCTGGGGAGCAAATGTTGGGAGCACAGGCTCAGGCACACTTCTTAGCTGGGTACTGTTGAGGTACCTTCCAGTTAGGATTCTCTCAAGTCAGTTTTCTCGGTCCCATGTCATTCGCCTCTTTATGGGTAAGAATCTTGGAGGTATTCCATGTGGTCGTCCTTGTAACAGTCCTTTCTGGACACTAAGGAGAAACCAGGTCTCTGATTTTGCACAGTTTAGGGAGGAGCCTCAGCTTTGAAATGGAAAGGGTAAGCTGGGTGTGGTGGTGCACACCTGTAATGCCAGCACTCTAAGAGGCTGAGGCAGGAGGACTGTAAATTTCAGTCTAGCCTGAGCAACTTAGTGACTTAGCAATAAGTGTCTCAAAATAAAAAATGAAAAAGGCCTAGGGATGTAGCACAGCAAGAAGGCTCTGGGTTCAATTCCAGTACCAAAAAAAGAAAAAAAATTTCCAAGATGTAATAGCTGCTACTCAAATGGGCAGAATTTCATAGAGGAATAATTTCTAAATCCTTATTGAAGATAACAGAAAATGGAGGCATTCAGGATTCACAGTGAGTGCTGTGAATGGCCCTAAGTCCCACTTGTCCTCCGATCTGGTGTTCAGCAGGAGTAGGAACCAGTGACTCTGCAGCCTGGCAGAGTGGAGAGATGCTGTGGTCAGCCACACATTGTTAGCCTAGAGCTTTTCTGAAGCAGAGAGAAAGGCCCACATCCCTGTCAGGGCTTTGCTCCTCAGTTTGTGTCCATAAAGGAGTTTCCTTTCCACTCTCCACCGTGGAAGGTATAAGAAGCTCATTTGCTTATAATAGCTCTAGCCAAAGGTCGAGGCACCGTCTGCAAACTGACCTCAGCAGTGCAGCAGCCCTTAGTGGATACCGCTGCTCACCCGAGATGCTTCCTTTCTCTGCATCCCCTCCCGTTCCTGCCCGCCCCATATCTTTTCGCTAATGCATGGCCTCTTCCTGGTTAGCTGTGCTCTGGCTGCCTGTGAGCTTGATCACCTGTGAGCTGCTGCTCCTTCTACCAGGGTGTTGCAAGGGAGAAGAGGAAGTCTCCTTCCTCCCCTTTTCCTCATCCCTTCAGATGCCTGGTGGTTCCCTAAGGACCCGGAGTGGACCCCCTACTCACCCCTGTGTTTTGTTTTCGCCACCAGGAACTTCTGCACTATTTAATCGGTACCCTGCTCCTTCTCATCGCCTCCATTGTGGCGGCCTCCAAGAGTTACAACCAGAGTGGACTGGAAGCTGGAGCGGTGAGAATGTTCTTGAGGCTTTAGGAGTGAATTCATATCTCAGATGCTGATTCTTCCTGATGGGGGCAGAAAAGGGGTTGGTTTCTGGGGCCTTTCATAGAATCCATAATCACCCCAACCCAGCCAGAAGCTTTCTCCATAGAACCAGACACTTGGGCCCACAGCAGCTGGTTCCAGGTGAACTGTCAGAGCCTTTGGCAAATTCACACAGCCCACAGACCTCTCTTATAGACCTCTCTTACAGCAGTTGGGTTCCAGTTCACACAGCCACTCTGCACAGAAAGTGGTCATCTAGCTTAGGAGGTGAGGACAGCACACATGAAACAATTAGCAAACATGGCCTTGTTGACTAGAATAGCATTCTGCAGTGATATAATAATAAACCGTTCAATTATGCAGTGCAGACAGTTGGCAACGGCATGGTATATAATGTGCTAATTGTGCAGAACAGACAATGAGAGGCCAGGACAGGCTCTAATAGACTAATTATGTGGTGCAGACAACTGGTACAAAGGGAGCCAAGGAAAAGGCACTCTGGGTAGAAGTAGGCGTAGGCTGGTGGGAGCAGTGCTTTGTGTAAAACAGCAGCCAGGCTCGAAAAGAAAAGCAAACCTTGTTGAAATCCTGCCCTTCAGCTGGCTGCTCCTGGGCCATCCCTGTAGGATGTCAGCCGGTCACTTCAGCCATGCCCTAGTGGGAGCATGGTGACCCATAGGCCTTTGGGCCCAAGGACACCTGGACTGCAGTCTGCGGAGCAAGGGCTCTAGAATCAGGGCCTTGGGCTCATTCTGTGGCCGTGGGCACATCGCTGACCTCCCATCTCTCCATTCGTGCAGCTGTGAAATGAGGAGGGCAGAACTGGGAAGCTCAAGGAGTCAGCTCACCTACAGGGTTAGTGTTCAACAGGCTTTACTTGCCAGCGCTGGGCACAAGTAAGGGACATGAATTCAGGCCTCACAGTTCCCAGGCACCAGGCTGTGGCTGCTCCCCTTTGACCATTTGGTGAGCCCTGCACAGGGGCTGTCCTCTCCAGGGCCCTTGTTCCTCTTCTTCTCGATGAGCTCGAGCCAGGCTAGGTCAGCTTCCTCATGCTTAAGCACCTGGTGGACCTGAGGGAAAAGAACATTGCCTTCATTCATTTTAGGCTCATATTATTTAAAGATGTGAAAACATAAAACCAGATATACAGGCCTCAGTCTCTGACTCTTACACAGAAAGTCATTTCAAACGAAATGCAAACAGTACCACATTAATAAAACCCATTTGAACATTAAAAATGTAAAGCCCAAATTAAAATTTACAGTTCAACCTTCTCTTCTTCATTAGTCCAGGATAATTAAAGTCCAGTGGGTTGGGCCTAACTCAGTTGTGAATATAACCCAAGCCCAGGCATGGAGGCTGTCTAGAGTGGGAAGGGCTGGCAGTGGAGACCCAGGTACCAAGCTTGACGTGAGTGGAACCCCAAGGACCTGAGCCTGGCAAATGGGCCTCTGCGTCTGGGGGAGGGTGAGGCAGTCAGGTCAGATGCCTCCTAAGCTCCCTCCCAGCCACAGATAGTATGGGGCAAGAACACAGATGAGAAGCAGACAGGACTGTCCGAGGGTGGGCTCAGCAGCCCACGAACTGCTCCCTCTTGCCTTTGCAGATCTTCGGCTTCATAGCCACCTTCCTCTGCTTGGCAAGTGTGTGGCTGTCCTACAAGATCTCCTGTGTGACCCAGTCAACGGGTAAGTTCCCGTTATCTGTACGAAGAGGACCTAAAAGGCCCCTGCTGAGGGCAGAAGAACCACTGTCCTTGGCTTCAGCAGTAGGGATGCCCCCGCCGCAGAGGAGACTGTCCCTAGGGTGTTGGAGCACAGAGTCCAGCAAAAGGAAGGATGGAGCCCCAGAACCCTAGCTCTGCTCCCCAGCTCTACAAGCCCAAGGATATCCTGGCGCTTCAGCCTCTGCTAGGAAAGTATTTTCTTGAAATAACTTTCCTAATGACAGAAACAAAATCTAGAGTTTTAAAAACATACAAATGATATGTTTATAAAATAAAAATCATCTGCCACCCAGGAAACACATCAGGACATCTACCCTCCCTTTGAAAATACGTATTCATGTTGCTTATGTGCCACTTCATCGCCTGCCTTTTTCCCCTACACCTGTCAGCCATTTTCCCAGCATCCTGGGGATTCTTCCCCACTGTTCCAGGGCTCTCTGGTGTTGTACTGACTCCGCTACAGCACCATGCTGCAGTTTATTTAACTCACCTCCTATTTGAGAGCATAAAGCTTTTTAAAAAAAATTATTTGTTATTAAACAGTGCCGTAATGAACGTCTTTGTAAATAAATCCCTGTATATATCCCTAATTGGTTTTATCTTTAGAGTAAGTTTGTAGAAGTAGATTGCTAACAGCCTCAACCAATTGTTTTCATTAATCCACCTCTCTGTGGTAGCACTTCCTTTCTTTGTGCTTTTTCTTTCTTCCTAAAATCACATGAGCAATCTCAAAGCTTGTGCGCTGTGCTGAGTTGCTACAGAAAGTTGGCCACAGCAGAGCTCCAACTTCATCCCAGCCCTCCCACACAGAAGTTCATAGGCTGCTCAGGGGAAGGGGCCAGGAGTGGAGCCCCCAGTGCAGGGCTCCATGCATACAGAATGTCGGGAACAGACAGATCGCAGAGACAGGAGGTGGACCAGTGGTCATATGGGACTGCAGGGAGGAAGGATTCAGAGCTGACTGCTAAAGAGTATGGGGTTTCCAGTGTTCTAAAATTGTAGTGATGGTTGAACCATTCTGGGAATACACCACAAACCACTTTTGCACACTTCGGGGAGGTGAATTGTGTGGTGTAGGAATTCTATCCCGGTAAACCTGCTTAAGAAAAAAAGAAAAATGAATTTTTTTTGAGGAAGAGAATGTCAGAAAAAAGACTAGGTAACGTCTAAAAATAATACAGCTACCATATTTATATAAATCCATTATTTAAAATTCTAGGAGTTGCCAAAAGAAGCACAAGGGAAGTTACAGGGGGTCACCACCATCAGAGGAACAGGACAGAGGTGGGCAGGAGTAGCCATGGGGGTCCCCTCTGCACTACTTAAAATCTTTCAGTCTATTTTAGAAATGTGCTCAAGAACAATAAAACAGTGCCAGTGAAAGTTGGTGCTGCATAGGGAAAGAATTGTGCAAAGCAAAAGTCGAGGAGGAGCCAGTGACTTCTGGGTGGGCACCCTCTTAGCAGGCTGACCTGACTTTGCTGTTTCCTTCCCCAGATGCAGCCGTCTGATGTGGCCACAGCTCCCGGCCCCCAAGAGGACCCGCAGGGCAGGAGGCCCAGCAGCCAGGAGGCCCAGTGGCCCTGTGTGGCTCTGGACCATGTTCCTGTGCCAAAGTCCTTCTCAGGCTGGTGAACTCCGGGAAGGCCCCCACCTTCCTCCTGCTTTGGCGACACGCCCGTTCCCTGAGCTCCTGAGCTGGGCAGAGCCTCTTTCCCCAGGCTTCCTCGGACAGCAGTCCTCCTCTTCTGGGAAAGGAAAGCAGCCTTGCCGCACTCTGCCTCTCAGTCTGTTTTTACCACCACCTCAGATACTGACAACCCCACCGAACATGCTGGAGGGGCTTCTGAATCGTCTGCATACATCTGCTTCTTTTTCATATTCTGCAGGGGAGCGGAGCTGCCTCACATTCTCGTAGAAACTAAGCCACCTCTTGGGTAGCTTGGCAGCCTGGTCTGGGAGAGACCCTCTTTCTTAAAGTGGGCTGTGCCAGCAGGAACATGCAGCCAGCCTGCCGTCTCCTTTCCCCTCTCAGCCTGTGTTACCACTGTGCGTGTGTTGGTGTGTTTTTAAATACAATATTGGCCAATTGCAGAAGGCTTTCTGTTTGAACAAGAAATGTGTAAAACAAGGCTTTTCATTCAAGTCTGTCTGTGCCACGTGGCCTTGACCACGCTGTGTCAGTACTCCTTGCTAAATGGCTAGATTTGTTTGTTTTGTTTTGTTTAGGGGGCAGTGGCCGTAGGACTGAGTTTAAGGTGAATATGTGCAGTTTTACATTTATATTTGCATCCTTCTCCTGCAGCATGAACTTGCTCATTTTGGAAGGGGCTTTGGAGGAAGCTAAGAGTCATATTTATATTGTGACAGGTCATCCTGTGCTAAATTTGCCATTTCTCTGCACTTGGGTTGCCTGGTTGGCTAGAAAGTGGGAGGAGAATTGCAGCAAACACTTGCTGATCAGCACCGTGTGTGAGCACAGCGTATCCAAGGCTGTGGTCATTGCGATTCCAGTGCCTCTTGGAGGGCTGCGGCACCCTGTTTTCAGAGATGAGGAAATTGGAGCTCCTCTCCCAAGACACAGTTAGGCTTGGAATCCAAGCCTGCCCAGCCCTGGGTCCCCATCTTGTCCCTGTGAAGTGTGGCCTGACACAGGCCCAGCCCATTGGGCTGCTTCCGTTGATGCTTGTCAGCTGGGGACAGAGATCTGTCTGGGACTCTAGGGAAGCAGCTCCTATGTGTCCTTGGCCCGGGGCTGCTGATGAGAGAGAGGGCTGAGCAGCCCTGGGAGGAACAGGATGGAGGCCGCCCGGCTGAGGAAGGTGTTGCCTGGGGAGGCAGGGGGCCCAAAGCTCTCTCTGTGGTGTGATGATGCAGCTGCTTGAGGAATGAAAAACGGGGTTCGATCATTCGGGTAGCCTGCTGGGGAGACAAGGAAGGCAGGGAGAGTCAGATGGGGAAGCACAGGAGCTTGCTCAGGGGGGAAGGAAGTAAAAACCTGCCGCCAGGTGTGACCTCCGGAGACAACTAGTGGCAGCCCGTTCAGGAGATGACGGCTGGGGAGGGGCAGCTGGGCTTGAAGGGGGCAGTTTTAGGTCGCAGGACTTTGTGGAAACAGGTTTCCATGGCTTGCCAATAAACTCAGATAAACCATCTCTTCTCAAAGGTGGCTGCACTACTAGCACCAGAGTAAATATTTAAACAAACAGGAGAAAGGGTGGTGGGAGAAAGCTCAGGTCTGGAGTAAGTCTGTGCGTGGGTACTAGCTCTGCCACCTCTGTCCCCGTGACCCTGCGCCAACAGTCTCAGAGCGTCAATTCCTTATGTGTATAAGTGGGAGAACGAACCTGTGCCGCCCCCCTCACAGCCCGCCTGCAATTCAGCAGCATAGCACCTTGCTGATGCAGCCTTCTGGGTGTCCCCAAAGACGATAGGAGGTGAGTGCGTGAGTATTACAGAGGTGACCACTGACAGGATGGGCAGGGAGGGCAGGGATTGGGATGGGGGAAAACATGGTGACTTTCAGTCTTCTGGACTTTACACTCTTTCAGAGTCAGCACTGAGGGACAGTTTTCAGCAGGATCCTGGGACCCAGTGTGGATGCAAGGCAGTGACACATTTGTGGGAAACATAGCCACAGCGCCTGGCAGCGTGTCAGGTCCCAGGGAGTACAGAGGAGTGAGGCTAGTGATAAGCTGGCAGCACTGCCACCAGAGCCTGTGGTCCCCCCTAGCCTCGTGAAGGAATTCACGGTCTGCATACAGCAGTGATTTTCAGACCCTGGGCTCCTCCAGCTCCGTTAGCTGTAGCGGCTGCCCAGGCACCGAGGGATATTCTAGGAGCGGGGCCTGCACCTAGGAGTCCTTGTCACCTTGGCAGGCCACACAGCTGCTCTTGGGTGGGCTGCCTCTGAACTAAAGTATTGATTGATTCACCACCCACATCCTAGGGGCACCAACAAACTGCCCCTCAAGCAATTGAGGTGTAGCAGGTTTGGGCTGGGAGCCGGAAATTGTCTAAGCATGCCCACAGTGGTCCAGCCAGCTAGGCATTAGAAATGCAAGATTCCAGGCCCACAGAGGCCAAGGGATGCAGGATCCCTGCTGTATAGTGGCGTCCTGGATGTTGTGTGCACATCAACACTTGTGACACACGGTTGGGATCAGAGATGCCCTCAGCTGGGTGTAGATCTGAGGTGGACTTTATTAGTGGAGGAAGTGATGAGTGGCATCAGCTAGTAGATGACTGAAGTTTCCTATTGCTGGATCCATAGCTACATGACGAGTAAGACTTACAAATCACCCTCTTTATGTATGTATGACTGGGGAATGAACCCAGGGCCTTCATAGCGACCTATATCCCCACCCCTTTTTAAAATTTTATTTTTTTGAAACAGGATCTAAATCACTAAGTTACCCAAGTGGGGGTCAAACTTTGAGATCCTCCTCCCTCAGCCTCCCAGGATATTATAGGCATGTGCCACCATGCCCAGCTGATGGCCTTTTCAAATCCCACCCCATGGTTCCCTGTGGAGGATCACTATTGGTGGCCAGGGAACCCCGCTGGCCTGCAGTCCTCCTGTCTCATCCTTCAGCATGCTGGGATTATGGGTGCACACTACCAAACCTGGCCACCAGAATTTTTTAAGCAGCAATATAAGAATTTCTGTCTCAGCATCTCAGTAACAGAAAGAGTAAGAATTACAGCCAACTCAAAGCCCCAACCCACAGAGAGAGGTGGACAGAGCTAAGCATCACGGGTCATGAAGAACCCAGGCTGTGGCTGTGTGTCCTCCATAAACCAGGCCCTGCTCGATCCGGGGGCAGTCCCCTCGTGTAACACAAACTACTCCCTACCAGCTTGGGCACAGCCACAGACAGGTCTGAGTGAGGATGTGCGAGGAGGAAAGACGGGGCCACCCACCGCGGCCCCCTGAGGTCCCAGGAAAAAGTGTTTTCAGCCTCGGCTGCCAGGAGCACTGGAGCCTGAGCTGCAGCCAGCCCGCCCACTGGGCAGCCAGGTCTGGCCTGCAGAGCCTCCTGGGCCTGGCAGAGCCCTTGGGAGGAAGGTGTGGGGAGCGGCATGGTGCTGTCACAGCAGGCAGAAGAGGAGGCTGGGATTCTCTCTCCATAGGGGTGCGGCATGTGGCAGCAGAGCCTCCCTGTCCTTGAGGCCCTGCGAAGGAACCCCCTGCCTGGAGGTACCAGCAGTGTGGTGGAGAAAGTCAAGTGGAAGCGAGGTTGGTGACGGAGCCCAGGTCTGGCCAGTGACCACCGACCTGCAACCAGCCTTGCCTTCTCGCCTCCCCATCAGACAACAGGCCCGATGTCCACACAGCCCTGAGGTGGAGAAGGAGGACTTGGAGATGGCCCCTTCCCCAGGCCACTCATCTCCCAGGCCTCTTTTTAGCAGATGAAACAAACCTATGGACAGCTACAGAACACAGCTTACTCCCTTTCTAGATCTCCTCATCCCGACCCCTACATAGCGCTTGTGTTTCTGTGTGCAGTTGCTGCAGGTATGTAACACGTCCCAGTTCCTTTTTAAGTCAGTTATCTCCTCCTCCGTCTCCTGGTTCTACTCTTTCACAACTATTTTTTGTTTTGCTTTTTATAGTCTGGATTTCTCATAGAAGAGAAATCATGTGATATTTAAGCTTGTGTGTCTGATTTGTTTCCCTTAACATTATGGTCTCAAGGTGCACCCATTCTCCTAAATGACTCAAGTCTGTCCTTCTTTGTGGCAGAGTAGTTCTCCACCTATTGATGGACAAATAGGCTGCTTCCAAGATTTAGCTGTTATGAATTGTGCTGCTGTAAACATGGGTGTGGGTATGCCTGGATCACTGTAGATGATGTCTTTCTTTTGGGAAGATAACTATAAGGGGAATAGCTGGGTTGACAGAATTGCTAGTTTTACGTTTTGTGGTTTTTCTTTGTTTTTTTTTT